AGTGTTGACTTCGATGCATAATGAGGATTAATTAGCTGAACCGCTTAAGAAATGACTTATATTACATTATTTTCCGGGCACAGGTGTCCTCATTACATGAGGAGATTAAGAAAAGGATGTTGACCGTGTTTGACAGTCCGTTAGCGTATAGTATGGCTGCTGAATCACGGCAGCATCGAGAAGGAGGCTAGCTTGCAAATTGGAGGAACAGAGTACAGGCAGAACTGTTTTTGGAGAGGAATTGTTCATGCTCTCATGCAGTAACCGCTAGCTTGCAGCAGATGTGTTGAAAGGCTTCGAATGCAGCAGAAGTCACAAAACAGAAACGTTCTGTATATACTTCTTGCTTTCATGGTCAATTTAATCTTGCCTGTGGTACTTCTAACTGCCCTAGAATATACGAACGACATCATATTATTAGGTTGTTTTATACCAGACTGTGACTACGCTCTCGAACCCTAATTCGCTTTGTAAAACTAGGGTTTCAAGTAAACCTTAAACGTTGATGATCACAAATGCATGTATCAGGAATAATTCTTCAACGAAGGTGTGGCGGAGTGCCATTATAGATGTGTTCGATATTTTAAATGTATTATGAATTCTAGATGAATACGGTGTTTATGACCAGAAAGTAAACTGCTGCAACAGTTTAGCAACAGGCTTATTTTGAGACTTGCGATACGATCAGAGAGTGAGGTCTGAAATGAATATCATCACCTGCAAAGCAACAGTCTTTTCCGTTCTTACATATGCTCTGAAAGACTTATCGTTCTTGAAACGTCATGTGGGTCTATAAGATTATTTTTGGCAGTAGAGTTTGTCATACATTCTCAGAATACGGGGTATATCTGAGTTACTGAAGAGTAACGTGTTGAAGATTTTAGCTTTTAGTGAACAAAAGATTCCAGTCATGATTTAAACAAAAGGATTTAAAAGAGGGTCGAAAATTGCCTAAATTGTTTCTTCTAGCATCCCGTTCACTGCTAACAGAGCCACGCAGTACAACATTTGAAAAATTTTTACTAGAAGCTGGCCTGCTTTAGATTTGGAGGATGACTTTCTTCATACCTGTTAGCAAGGTTTGGATTAAATCTGAGCATTTGGTTTCATCCCGGTTATATTCATTATATTCATTCATCTGGACAGTCCTCTGTCGTCAACGTGACAGCACAGCATCCTATCCAGAATTTTTCAGACTGTTTGCAGGATTAGTAATAATTATTTGTAATGTTAATATATAGATCAAACAAGATATGACAAAAACGGAAGTGAAGCTGAAAGCATGTAACGATTCGGTGAATAAGATCCAAGAACGTTTGAAACCGTTGCAGGAGTTGCTGCAAAATATCGCTGAACAAAACAAGAAGCTGGCAAAACTAACAAATAAAAGAGGTGAGAGCATGACGTTTGTTTTTGCTGTTGATCATCGCTTGATGTTTCTACTTCAGACACACTGACAGCGGAAAAAACAATGCTCGAAACGCAAATAGTAGATTTACGAAAGCAGATCCCGGAGATGTACGATGGCAGCGACGAACAACTTGAATACGACTTGGCAAACTTCGCCCAAGAGATGAGTGACAAAAGTCGAATGCTCATTGCAGTACTTTTACCATTTATACGCCTCTTGTTTATGCTTCATCCTTTTATCCATCGCTCTAGAATGAACAAGCTGTCGAAGCTTTAAATCAGAGGATTTCGATATTGACTAAAACCAGAAATGACAAGGTCTCGGCAAAGAGCCGAATCGAAGCCGAAATTGAGGTGAGCATTAGATTTCGATCTGTCATTCATGCGTTAGTGACGTGGTTTTTGCAGATGATCAAGAAGCGAATCTCACAAAGAGACGAACTAGTGGGAAAATTGGCTGGACTCATGAAAATCAGTGGTAATTATATTCTTTTGTTACTCTAATTCTTCATACCTTATTAACTTATTGACACACCTTTTTCTTAAGTTCTATTGTAATTATCATTTTCATAAATCTGTTCATCACACTGAACCTCTTTGAGCAAGTGACACATATCTGCCATTTTATTCGTTGCCGTTTATTTGCTGAGGTGTATTGAGTACACGGCCAGTTTTAATTTTTTGAAGAAGACAAACGCTTGATCTGAATCGAAGTGAACTGAAGGGCTTTATGCTTTGTGTAGATGATCAATTGCATTTTATTTCATTGTGCTACCTTTAGGATAAGTAGTGGTGGCAGCAACCAAATTTTTCATCCTTCTGCGACATCGCCCTTCAGAAGCATTAAATATGCCTTTTTTGCCTGATAGCAGGTCAGTTCATAGATATAGTAGCATGTGGCTAGACGTTCATTTATTTGCTGGAACAACGATGTTGTAACTTAGTAAACAAGAATTTAACCGTTTGATTCTGATCGCCGGTTTCTTATGCGGGAACCCAAGAACGACAGACCAATCATGAGACAAGCAAGCGACTTGGATGTACAAGATATAGTCTGATCTGCGTTCAAAGAGGAATTGTTCTTTGTACAATGCGGCAACCAGTGTGTTTGTGTTGAGGTCAATACGTGGAATCATTTGCATAAAAGGAACTGTCTCTGGTTTGTGATGTTCGCAGTATTTGCAGGATTTAAACACTTTTGCTATAAAGCGCCGGTTACTGCATCGTAGAAGGATAGATTCCTTTCTGTAAACAGATCAGCTTATCTCTTGTGACATTCTGTCCTCCTGATCGACGTCTGTTGGCTTGGCTTCTATACAAGAAGTTCGCAGGCTGGAATAAGCGTTTTATGCTAACCCAGATTGCCTAACGGAGACAAGTTAATTTTCATTGTCTCTACGTCTATATCAGACACTCGTACTCAATGGATTGAGGTCATTTTCTTACGTGGCCCTGCCATTTAATCCTTATTATGCGTCAAAGTCAAATCTCCTGAAACCGGAGAGGTATGCAAACAGCTCAGAGTGATGATCACAACAAACAATCAATTAATACATATGGTTTTTTGGATTTGCTAGCCAATTTTCGCGATTGCATCATGTGTTGCTTTGTTTCTGAGGTCATGTGATGTGCCCTCGTTATCCGTTTTAATACTCTTAAATTAAAAAGTTCAACGTTGTGCTCACAGCAGATGGTCGAACTGTGGAGTCTTTTGTCATTGAACATCTCTGAAATCTCTTTGAGGTTATCCAACTCGAAAACACTGCTATTTCTGTCCGTGCCATTTTATGCTTCGCTCATGTTGTAATCGTTCTGTTCTTCTCAGAAACTTTTTACGGCATGCCGTTAGTAACAGCAAAGTTGTCCTGACTGCAGTGAGCTAAAAGTGAATCTTAATGTTGCCTCATATTCGGTTTCAAACTTCAGTTTTCAAGAGGCATCTGAAAATGTGAGAATGAAGCCAGTGAATTTCCCCAAGTGATGACCACTTCAAAATTATGGTACTGAGATATTTTCATGGAACTGCTTTTTTGATTTCACCACTATATATCGGGATGGTTTTTCATTTCCACTATATATCTGGACTCATTATTACCTTTTTTCGAAAGGGTTCAGCATTAAGCCCGCCTTCTATATGTATGTGCGCTCTTGTTGAGGTCATTACCTTGAACCTTTTGCATGAGCCGAGTGTCGCTTGGTTGTGCGATATTGATTTCGGCGATATCATACACTTTTCAACACTTTGTAAAGCACCAGTTACTGCATTGTAAATGGAACAATTTCTTTCTAAATTCAGGTTTCTCTGTATCTTGTTCTTCGTGTTGCCTGCTTGCATCATTGCTCTTCTGTTATGCTTCAGCTAGCGAACTGGAATGATTGAATTATGCTCAACGAATGTTTCTGATAAAACTAGCATTTTGATTAATTTCTACAGCTTATCTAGATATCTCTATTCCGTAGAGAATATGATCATTCCTTGCGGTCCTGTTTCGATGCCAGCGCTGATGTACGTTGTTTATCATACCTCCTTGGTGTATCTTAGAACGAGGGTAACTTGCTGTGCAACATCAGTTACCTGGCCGAGGAAGGATGCAGCTAGTTTTTGTAGAAACCGACAATTCTTCGACGAAATACTGAATAATAAGGGCGGCCCTCAAATTTAAATTTAATTTGGTGGCACCATCGCTGGAAATAATGACACCGTGAGATCATGATCATAAAATTTACATCGTGTTGACAAAACAGTCCTTTAAAGGCTTTACTATGCGTTGTTTGTATTAGCTGGTGAGGTTTAATGTGATCATTTTGGTTCATAATTTGATTTAGATGAAATCGCTGGTGATCGCTCAAACGTCATGCCGTTCATGAATGCAGCGAATGATAGGCTGCATGACGTGAAGGTTGAACTTGAGTTGATCAAGGTACTCACGGTTATTTTTCATGGTATATTGTCATTGTTGGGTCATTTGGGTTGCAGACATTAAGTGTTTCATATCTTCAGTTTTGCAAAAAAAATTGAGCTCTGACTTCAAACGTTTTTTCATAAATTGAAAACTGTTGATAACTAAAATTGTTGCAATACTTATTTAAATATGGCCGTTGCGCAACCCTTCTATCATATTGCGATGTTTCACTTGCTATTATTATATTTTCTTGTATTAATGTTACCTGTATTTATTTTATCATATTTTCCATTATATCAGCTGGACCTCAGTTGGACGGCCGGCAGTCGTAGACGAATCGTGCCAGCTGTAACAGGCTCTCCATTTTTCGTAGTTTCGAGGTTTCTGCCTCTAAGTGCAGCCTTCTCGGCTCTTGATATAGCCTTGCCACCGTACTGATGGACGACCAAGCGGTCTACTTTGCACGCGAGGCCATCATTCGACGATCATCACGACCATTTCTCGTCGGTGAGTCGAGCCATGTGCCCGACCCACTGTGGCTTCTTTCTGCTTTCCACGACGACGTCCGTAACACCCGTCCGCTGTCTAATAAACGTGTTGAGAATGTGGTCGCGTCGTCAGATTCCCAACGTTCCCTTTCCATGGTTCTCTCGATGACAGTGAGCTCCACT